GGGGGGGAGATTTCAAATTAACTTAGGTAAGAAAAAGTAATATTCACCAGAGTTTATTTTCATATAAAAATTTCTCCAATAATTCGCTACCATGAAATTACAAAATTATATCTGCTCAGTACCTAGTTTTGAGAAATTTGCCGTTAAAAATGTTGAGTTTCATAACTTGTTAAACTTCTGCGAATGCAATTCTTTGAATAACTTGATAACGACTTCAAATTATCTTATGGTTCTCATACTGGAGATAGAACATTTTGGTCTCCTCTGACCTCATGCTATTTAGTAACTCAACACGGCCAATAATGCCAGATAGAACTTTGTAATTCTAAGATAAAGAATTTTCTGAATCTCCTTTTAGTTGTTAACGGTAAACATTGGCCTTATGTAGATTTCCAGATTCATTCAGAAAAATAGACCTAGGCTTACCACGGTCTGCATTTTCATACAAAATATTGTACAAAGTTAGGTCGTCTCCATAAAACTCTTTAAAATGATATCATTGTCTTTGGTTCTATAAAACGGTTAAAAACGTGTAAGGTTTGACCGTAGATCCAGGACTACTATTACTTCAGCGATTTAATCAGCCAAACACACAGTATGTGCGTTTATTCTGAGTTTTTACAGTAAACTGTTCACGCCCTCGCATAATTTTCGCCACTGTGTAACCACATAGATCTGATGATTTCGTTCCGCCGGAAACGCCTCGAAATCTTTTTTTTTTTTTTTGGTCCTGTTTTCTTGTCAAAGGCAATGGTATCTGAGAAACCTGGAGTTCGCCCACTCCGCGGCAAGACGGCAGTTCTAATGGATATTAAGTACAAATGAATTCATCACGTAATCGTGCGACCTAACGATAAAAATGGTAAGTGACGACTACAGTCTAGTATGTGTACTTAAAAGCACTTAAACCTGTTTTTTTTCCTTACTTGACTGTAAAGTGGGTGATTCGTTGGTGAAAAGTAAAAACACGTCTGAGAAGGGGATGAGCTCGGTTCTATGGCATGACAGGGGCTAGTTGTAGTAAGGGTTTCACGGTGCTTGCAACACAAACTCACATAAGTGGAAAAGATTATAGGTGATAAAGAGAGTAACGAACAAAATAAAACGAGAAGAGATAAGAATGGTAAATGTTTGATGGGGGACAAAGGAACAAACCACACTAGAGCACCCGCCACCCACCCACAGGAATTATCAGTTTTCATGCTGTTTAGGTCTTGAAAGGGAAAGTGTCAAAGTGTTCAATTTAGTCAAAGTGGTGATTTGGGCTGAATCTATGTTTTGCCCAAATAAACATTATGTTTAATGGCTACTTTGAAAGCTATATCCAGAAGCTATTCTGTGAAGATGCCACGTGTCTGTAGTGTAGATTGTTGATGTAGTAGCTAAATGGAACATGGTTTTCGTCCTAAGAATTTCTATGACCATGTAAAAGTTGTTATTGTTTGACTGAATCTGGCTAAATGTTACGCAGTTCGCTGGCAAGTCTCATAATTTATGTTTTTGATAAAGTTTTCTTAGTTTTCTCTTGCTCTCGATTTTTTCTTGCTCCGTTTTGATTTATTTGATGGGGTTTTGTGAATGAATAAACAGTAAGCCTAAATAATAATTCTCATGTTTTTACTTTTAACAAGTTTTTCCCGAAATAAGGAATATTACTTTCAGCTGTTGAATATAAATAAATAAAATAATATGACAAATAGAAAAATTACATTTAATCGATCCCCATGGGGAAATTAGGGTTATAATGACAAACACGCACACATAAATACTTAGAGTATATTTAATACCAAATGCTCAGTATTACACTAATGCAGAGTATTTTACACACACCCCTTTGCTGGTCGCCTCTGTGCAGCTCTTATTCTTTCGTTTAGGTGCTGCTGTTGTTGTTGTTGTTGCTGTTGTTGTTGTTGATTTTGTTGTTGTTGCTGTTGTTGTTGT